GAGCCCAATTCTTCAGCATTTGCCTTTGACAGTTTATCTCCGGGGACAGATAATCTCATTTACATCTGTTGCCACAAATCAAAACACCAGCAAGTTAAATGGATCTGAAGGCTAAGATTAAAGACTTAGAATGAAACCACCTGTGAAGTGCCTGCAATGCAAAGAGGTGGAAATGGCTTTTTCTTTTTCTGGGGGCTGGAAAAGCCCTATAATAATTCCCTTTACCTCAAGAGCAGAGGCAGAAGCTCCCCCCAGTGCAGGCAGACGAGATACACGGTTGTTACGTGAGCAGTTTCTTTGCCATGGTCAGCAAAGGAGGGAAGAGGAAAAGAGGTTGAACATCACCCATTATCAGCACGGGGAGATGCTGACTGAGCTTCTGGCTGACTCAGAGCTGGTACAAGGTGGGACAGGCTGGAGGAAGCTGCGGGTGCTGCTGGGCAGCTTCTCCTCCATCCCCCACCCACAGCATGACCCGGGTGGGACCCCTGCCTGTGCTCCTGCCTTCCCTGGGCTTGCCTCGAAAAGCCTGCGTGGCCTGGCAGCAGATGGTGCAGCAAAGAGTGTGGAACTCCCACTCAAGTTTTACAGGATCAGGCATTGAAGCAGCAGATGGGAAAGGGACTGGTGGGAAATGCAGTTTAGAATTTTCCTTTGAGCTGTTCACCACTCCTAAAAGCCAAGCTTCAGAGTCCACTGGACTATCTACTTCTCTCATAATTCCACAGCATTGATTTATGAGCCTTTGTGTCACCATTAATTTGCCAGGTGGCATTGCCAGCACCCTGGGGTGCCACAGGGGACTGTGGTAGGGCCGGATGCCTCCAGGTGCTGCCTCTGACCGGCACCATTGCCCAAGTCCCAGCTGCCCTCTAGAGCAAAATGTTAAATGTTTTAGCAAAGCACAGCCAGCAGATAGCAGCATTGGTGTATATAACATACCCTAGGCTCTTTCTGCTGCGGTTTCAAAGTCATGCAGAAACCTTGCTGTGTTTGAGGCTGTGATCCAGCCCCGTTTCTGCACGGTGGGGCTGTGGGGATGCTGGGCACCGAGCTCCTGCTCGGCTGGGCTGAGCCTGTGCCACGACCATAAACACTTCCCTGGGAGAATTAAAGAGCAGCAGTGGTTCTGTAGGCTCTGAGCTGAACTGCACTGAACAGTATTTCACAGGGGGTGAAGATTTTGCAGCACAACAAGGCATGGAAAGCATCTGCCCTTAAACTGAAGTTTTAGCACAATGCTCAAGTAAATCTGTCCAGGCAGATCTGGAGCATGGATAGTACTAGGAGTGCTCATCATTTTTGGGGGCCTCCAAGGTGCAGCACAAGGCCAAACACTGGTATCTTCACAGGGGCATGAGTAGGAATTGGGCATCTTGCTGCTTGTGCAAGACTGATCCTGCTGCTGAGGCCCTGGGCATGGGGACAGCTCTTCCCAGCACCAAATCAACTGAAAAGAAATTAATAACCTGCACGGGGAGAAAGGAGCTGCTTCTGTGTGACCTGGGACGTGCTGGTTTGCTGCAAAGTGCTTGTGATATTGCAGGGAAAGAGTTTTCTCACCTGGGAGGGTTGTGCTGTTTTTATTGTGAAAGGGATAGAAGATCCACTGAGGGACATGGTTAGTAAGACTTAATTAAAACTTGCTTGCTCTGATGAATTTGATTGGTTTCAGCAATGCACAGAGCAAGCCACCTTCAACTCCCAGCAGCATTTTATGGCAGCTTGGATAGGAAGGTATTCCTCCAGTTCTGGAAAAGACTTGGTGTTCCACCTGCAGAAGCATTTGGGGGCTGCTCGGATGGGTCTCAGAGCTCCTGCCTGTGACATATTCCTGAGGCTGGGACACAGACACGTTGTTTAATGGCTGTGTCACATCTGTATTTATATTTAACACCTTGTATATGCATTTGGCACATTCCTCCCCAGAGGATGCTTGCGTGCCAATTATTTTCATCAGAGCATTTCAAGGCTCCCCACCAGCTAAACAGTATATATATAAATATATATATATGTGCACTGTATATGAGCAGGACATGAGATCACGAGCCAGGCAAGGGCCCTTGCATCAACCTTGAGCTGTGTTTATGGAACAGCAGACCTCTCTTGGAAGCTGAGATGGCTTTAGCCCTCCAAAAACCTCCCAAAATGGCCCAAAAGCAGCTGCAAGCCCGCAGGCAGGAGGAGGCGGCTGCGGGGCCGACGAGGAAGGAATGCAAGGGGTTTGATAAGGAAGGAATAATAATGATAATAATAATAACCTTTCTGGCTGGGCCAGGGCTGAGCCTGGCCGTGTTTGCACGCAGGCAGGACACTTCCTGAGCTGGAAGCAGCTTTTGGCTTTTTCTGCTGCCTCGGCACCGGCCGAGCTCGGCCACCCCCAATCTGGCCGTTTAGAGACAGCCTTTGTCGTGCCAAAAGCAGCTGACTGTAACTTCATTGTCTTTGCTTGGCTGTAGGACATACCTTGAGCTGTGAAAAATGCACCTGACGTTTGATTAGATCTCCCACTTTTAATACAGTGCTGATTAGATAAACAATTGCCAAAAATAAAAAAAAAAAAAGCCAATCCCAGCTCCTACCCCACAGCCAAAAAAAAGCCCCTGGGAGAACTTCTCCTGCACGCTGTGGCAGCTGGAGCTCTTGGGAGAGGAAGTAATTTCATTTTTCCACCAACAGCCAGTCTTTTGGAGGGTCAACTTAACCCAAACTACGAAAAACACCCCAGTAGCTGGTTTCTAGCTGTATCCAGTCTTCCCTGGAAGGGTCAGGGACTCCAGAGAGGAGGGGCTGGGTCAGGAAA